TCCAGGTTGCGCACTTACTTCATACACATATATATTATGCACATTTGTATGAAATATGTAACTGAAACTCAATTAGGAAGCGGAAATATGCTATTTTACCATACACACAGTGGCGGACATAAGGGTTGCTGTTCGCATAAGAACTTGAAGTTTTTCATATTTGACGTGGTATCTGTCAATTTGAAATGTTTTTCAGAATAGAAATCCCCAGAGAATTACTTTCATATTGCTGTTTCTAACGTTTAATGTACATATGTATGTATGTATATGTATGTTTTGAACTGTTCCCCGGTTACTAACAACAATAAWGCGGGGAAACACAATGGCTGTAACAATATTAAGTGGATATCAAAGTCTACCTATAAGTTTTTTCAATTGATTTCGCAGCATTTAGAACTTTTCTTGTCGATTGGATAACTATTTCATTATCTGCACAATGCTCTAATGGAGCGGAGACGGTTAGTGAATGGTTCGAAAGAGTGAGATTCGCTTACTCTCACTTCATATTTCTCATAATGCTAAGTTGTTGGCARTCAAACTCGGCTATAGCTCCCGCTTCCTAAAGTGCTCCTCAATAAAAAAGAAGATGTTCGCAATCAAGATAAACCATTTTAACGGAGATTTTAGAAGGGTTAATGCTCCGTTGCGATGTTTCTATTCATCCAACCTACGTTTAGGTTCATATTTGACTATGACAGGTTAAGAATTGTTTTCCTAAATTGGTAGAACCTTTCTTATGTGTGTGCGAATTCAATTGGTATGCGTTTCGCTGCTGTTTGTTTACGACARGAAAGTTTTGTCTGTCTATGGACTCTTGGTGCGTTCCCAGAACCTGTCTTTTCAGTTTTGAGAGCGGAAAAAAGTCTCGGGTTGCCAAATTAGGAGAATACGATAACTGAACGATGACTCTCATTTCGTGTTTCGTTAAAAAAGTCAATCACAAATCATGTTAGAAAGTGATGGAGCACTCAAGCCATACTCAAAATATTARTCAAATTAGTTAAGTCGCTCCAAAAGAGGCATTGAGATCCTCTCCTACCTCTCTGATGCCAAAGCGCGGGTTTCCAAGCGTTGCCTTATAAACTTTTTGGATGCTATCGTTATTAACAGAACAGTATGGCCGCATGAGATAAGTTTTCGATGACTTCACGACCTCCACCTAATGCTTTCAAAGCATTGCTTTGTGCCACTCAAGTACTTGTGTTCGTGATAAAGTAGACTCCCCAAACGAGGTCTGTAATACTTCCMACGATGCCGTAGCCCTGATTCCATTGGAAACATAAAATAAGCAAACTCGTGAATTTTTTTGATTTTTCTAGTTGAAATTATTAGTTTAAATGTACCCATCCAAATTAAGTTTGATATTGAGTGTATACTAAGGCGGCGGGTTCGTTTATCTGTATCAATACAAGTACAAATTGCCAAGAGAGGAAGAAGAGAAGTGTTAAGCAGAAGAATTTCAATACGGCAGATCTGCTTTTTGGTGTACAGATAACATTTATGGTTCACTATCTATCATATCTACTTATGTATGTATTTGTTWTATTGATGAAATTATTTAAGAAACTGTGCCGAGCATACATGTCTGAAGCCATGCATGCAAACGTCGAGTTTAAATAAATGYATTTGTTAAACAAAGACAACATTATGATTTGCATTATCAACGGGCTTAGGTCAACGGTATCTTTGCAAAATATTTGTCTTATCGGGAGAAATTTGTTGCATACGGTGCCGCTGAAGGAGTAAGATTTCAGCAGTTTTCGAGATTGAGTGTTTATAACTTTTTGGATATTGTCTGTGGCTTTACGATTTCTCACCAACAACCGCTTTTATTTTAAGCTCTAAAATCTCTTCTTTTTGAAGCTCTAAAAACTTCCAAATTTCTTATTAATGCTACCGCAGAAAATAGTTAACGTAAGTACTGAAGACATTAGGGTACAGGTTCCGCCAGGGTAGTTTTTTTGAAGCGGCGGAGGACGAAAACGCAGTAAGGAGTTCTAAAAATGGCCATACATGACATACAAGGTCGTTAGGATTAGATTGTCTGCACTGAAAAGCCATGAACTGCTCTACAACCCTTTTGACAAAATCTGCATAGAATGGAAATAATTAAAAAATATCTTCGACTTTGTCTCAAATGAAAAATTGTATTTGCCTTCATTCAGCCGACATTCAGCGACATTGTCAAATGCATAATTCATATGTAAGGAATTATATTCAAAGCACAGAATTCAAAAAAAACCCGAAAAAGCATTAATACGACAATCATWGTTTTAAGTTTTGGCATATAAGTAAGATAAAAGGTTTAAATTTAAGTAGAAAATACCAAAGTTCACCTTTTAAATTAAAATGCTTGGTTGTTTAAATAATATTTTCATATAAAGAGTAAAATTAAGCAATGTATATACTTTTGTATACCTCTGCATATATCGACATACAAACGTATTCATATTATAAATAATTGCTCAGGCATCAAAGCAACAACGCCACTTTATATCACGCCACTGTCGACTGAACACTAAAACATTTCACATTTTCCAAATGCAAAAGGCAGGCATCGAATCGAAAAAACAGGTAAAGGCGAATACGACACTCGTGCGCCTCTGAGGCATCACCCACTACTTTCGCACTCACAACACAATAGGCTGGCACTTCCCCCACCTTCAGTCGGTTGCTCTCGTTCGCACACACATTTAGCACCCAGCATCGAATAACCAGACCAAGAACGTCAGCAACAACATCGAACACGGTGACGGAATTGTGTTTTGTTGGTGTCCCGCCTGCTACGCGCCGTTACTTGCATTACTTGCAACTACACCACTGACACGCGAGCCAAAATGAAGTTAGTTGCTTCGGCAGCCATCGGTTTAGTTGCCGAAACACGACCGTTGCCAGAAGTGGCCAATCAAGCTGTACGCCAGCCGAAGGGTGGGCGCGGCCGCAGCGGCAACGGCTTGCTCTATCACTTTCGTACGCTACCATTAGGTCTGCCACCGTTTCAGTCTAACGTTTATGAACGTCGCGTACAGTAGGGATGGGGCAGGCAGTTGCTGAATACGAACGTTTAAYAACGAACGATAGCAATACTAAAGACGAAGGCAAGCGTAACAGATTCGCCACCGTCTTTTGGTGTTGATGCACCATAAGAGAGGGAGAATTGTGCGTCGTTACTCTGGTTGTTCGAGCCTTCATTTATATTGGTGAAAATATTAGATATGCGAGAGTGGTTATTTAGCTGAGAAARTATTGGATTTTGGGTGGTGGGGTTATTCGTTTGTACTTCGTGCTTAGATTCGGATTAATTTTATCTGCGCAAATGTTTAAAGCAGAGAAAAATCGTGTGRGCACAGTGACTCAGAATACAAAAATGTCAAATAAATTGTATTTGAAACGCTTGGAATTATGAAATCGGTATTTATTGTATTGATCATTCACGAAAGTAACTTTGGTTCTCTAGCCAGAATTCATAAACTMATTTATTGTTGCTAAGTGTAGTCTTTAGTAATACCGGCAAAGAATGCGTTAAAAATAGTTCACCCAAAATAAGAAAGCTTACAGGAGGGTTTTAAAGAATTCTTTGGAAAATAATTAACTTAGCATTTAAATTAAGATTTTTCATCTATTTTTTAATCCCGAAAATCTTAATCAAAACTAAGTAGTTTTTAAATACATATCTAACCMTTAATGCTAAATTTAAGGTTTTAAAATAAAGTTTAGTTCAAATAACGTATTYGAAAATAAAATAAATATTAATTCCAAGTTTAAAGTTAAAAAAGCGTATGAATAGAATAGTTCTTCCACCTTGAAATCCTGCACTGGACTGCTATATATCAAAGTCCTGTTCGAATCCACTTAACACGATATATATGTATACCAGCGCTTGCGTACTTTGTGTTCTCCAATTTTGAACTAAAGCTTATACAGAACGATCATCTTCAATACTCTAGATCAATAGATGACAATATTTTATTCAGATTTTCAAATTGAAATTACACTTTCAATTTTTAATTCCAGTTTCGGAAATTAGAAAGTTTACCTTTTAATAGAAAATTATTTCATTAAAATATTCCGATCGAAAGAATTTACCTTTAACTTTTAAAGAACTTCTTAAATAAGAAAACATTGTTGGGTTGGTTGAAAAGTGGGGAACTGTAGTAAGAGACCGCAAGCGGCCGCACTGAGACCTTCATTTCCATCATAAAATTAACTATKAACTAGACAACTGAATAAGCAAAAATGGTTATGAAACCAATTTTTCGTATTGATTTCTATGCTATGATTAGAATTTTTACTTTTCGCTTCTGAATCTTGCAATATCTGTTACAATTAGAAAATATACCACTTATGCAGAATCGACTCTGCTATATCATATATACAATACCCATGTAACGTGTCCTCGCTTGACACTAATCACCTCTTTGCATGCCCTGTTAATCCTACACATCTGACACTTCTCTCGCTATAGTCCGACCCCGTCGAAATAGCACGTTTCCTAGACCGACCGTTAGATGACTTYGACCACAACTTATGTATATAATACGTACCATCTTAACAGGGACTAGGTAACCCTTGCACTGGAGATACAAGTTGAACTGGAGATAGAAGTTGGGAATTTTTGAAAAAAAAAGTTGGCAAAAAATTATTGTCAACACCGACGCCCCCTGAAAACTCAGGGGTCCGGGAGGAATTGTTCTCGATTCTCACTAGTTGAATATCGAGTCGAATTTTCTTTACTTGTCTTATGTTAGCCCATAGTACAAAATCGTTTCATTTAAGGGGCAGCGGTTGGGGCAAAACACCAGACCGCAAACGAGAGAGAAAAAGAGCGCAGAAATGAGCGAGAATAGCACACATGGCAAGCCGATGGACATGTATTCGTTTGTGAATATGTACATATATGCGTGCTCGCTGATAGCTGCTCCACCAGCGTTGTAACAGTATTTTGTTGGCATTCGAATTGTGCAGTTTGTGTAGCGCGGCTGATAGCGGACATAACAGTCGGCGACGCGACGCACTTTCCAACTTTTCAACTGAGTGAATGTCGCTTTGGTAAAACTGAACTGAAGTGTGATAGTGAATGAAARTAAATAGAAGCTGAAACGCTAAAAAGTCAGTAGCGGTATTGTTGTTGTTGTTCTTCATACAAAGGCATTCGAGAAATCGATAAGGAAAACAAGTGCAAAAGTGAAAGAAACGTAAAAAGGAAACACAAAAGTAAATAACGATAATAAAAAAAAAACAGTGTGAAGGAAGCAAAGGAAAGTGGGCTTAGTGCAATGTGCGCAAAGTGGGCCGCCAGCTAAATAGGGGAGGAGCGCACGGCAGAGCAGAGAAGGCAGCGGCTCGTGAATTGTTGTTAAAAATCAATATAAATGTTAGTATATAAAAAGGTATATTCGTTAAACTTTTGCCGGTTACGTGTTTTAAAGCTGGTGGGCAAAAGCAACGCGAGCGTTTATGGTGCTGGAAAAGTTTACAATATTTCATGACTTTTTGTTGCAAGTACGGCAAAGTGAAATTTTTGATGTGCAACTTTTTGTGCCATAAAATATGTACAGAATGCCAGCAACCATTTTTTCTTTCCATAAATGCATATGTGTACACGTGTGTGTGCCTAAAGTTTCTAATGGAAAAAATTTCACTTTACAATCTGTGCGCTGGCACACACATATGTACATATGTACATACATATGTTTCTATGCGGTGTGTATGTTTATTTGCACATATGGAGATGTGTGAGTTTTTAGTGTTGTTGTGTGTGAGTACCACCATGTGTGTATGAGCAGTTAGAGCTAGAGCGGTCAAGTGAAGAATAAACGCTGATCTGAGTGCGCGGGCAAAACACTTGACACGCATACACACATAGCTATGCAGCTATTTTCGTATATATGTATGTGTATGCGGCTGTGCATGAGTGTAGGTGCGTATATGTGATAACGCGGCGCATGTGTTCCACTATCAGGAACAATAATAAGAACCACACACACACGCACATTTGAAGGCGCTGTGGGCAGGCGTTTGTGACGGCGCGGCATGGCAAGGCGACGCGGCATTTATCTTTTATTTCGTAGTTTCGTATTGCGGTGCCGGGCTCGCTTCAAATTGGTACGCGTTCGCATTGGAATTTCGGCGATGAAAAAATCGGCAACATAAACAACAAACACTACTACTAGTGCATGCAACGTTTGGAAATAAATAAATCCAACGATTCGCGGCGAAAACGAAGGCGCGAGAATTGGGCGCACGGTGGGCGAATACGGCGAATTCAAGCCCCAACTAGCGGCAACAGCAAACGCGAGGCGTAGAAAGTTCGCAGTCGCCACCAAGCGTTCGGCAATATTCGAATTGCGTTGCTTTCGGCTTTAAATGTGTATCTGCGAGCACAAAAAAAAACAAAATAGATAGATACAAAGCTTAAAACAGACACTTTGTAGATGCGCAGTGCAGAAATCGCGCTATTCGTGAGCAAAGCGTAGTCATACAAACAGACACATACTYGCTTTGCCGACAATCTCTTGTTGGTGGTGCTGGCGAGTCGGCTATAAGCTGCCGCTGTGTGCAGCGAATTTACGGAGCGAATTTGTCGCGGCGAGTATTACAATGTTAGCCACAGTCGGTCGGTTTGTGGTGGGTGGCGCGCGAACTAAAAACCGAAAACAAGTGGAAGCAGTAGAAGTGGCACGTTAGTGCTAGCGCTGATGGTGGTGGTGGTGATGGCGCATTCGCCTGGTGAGAGTGAGAACGAATGTGGTGTGTGTTTAGTGCGCGCGCGCATGAGTGAGAACGACCGAACAACCGAACAACCGAGCGGCGTACGACAAGCGCCAGCCAACTTTGCACGGAGCGGCACGGTTGWGTGGTCGGTGGCATTTTCGTTGTTCGCTAGTTTCGAATTTGATGGCTGCTGTGTCAGTTATATTGTTATATCGAGCGGCAAGTCATAATTTTAAAAGCTTGTGGATTTCTTTCAACCCGCTGTCGCACTGTGCTAGACAAATTCGCGGACGAATAACACAAGCACTGATACATATGTATGTATATGTGCCCCGCTAGTGTTTGGGTGTGTGCGTGTGTGACAACAACACATTTAAGTGAGTGAAACAACAACAACACAGTGGTTTTGCAAATTAGTGCAAATATCGTTGAGCGCCGCATCCAACCACCATCGCCATAGGCAAGCACGGCGCACAACTCAGCCGCCCTACTTTGAATTTGTTTTTGTATTTGTGTGTTAGGTTGGGTTGTTGGATGGTGTGGCGGTGTGCGGAGGCGTGCGGGCGTTTGTATTAAAGTGCGGAAGTATTTAAGTATGTGTGTGCAGGTGGGTGGCGGAAGAATTATAAAATATTACGGCAAAGCCATAGAATGGGGAATAGGAAACCGAGCAGCAGGAAGTAAAAGCAATTGTGCAACGAAACACTCTATTCTCCACACTTACTTTGCTGCAGCTTCTAATTCATATTCCGTTTGAGTCGTGTGTGTGTGTGTTTTTTTATTTTTATTTCTAATTCTTTGTTGCTTTCCTAATCCTCACGCTCTCATTGTTTTGGCTCGTTTGTGCGTCGGTCGGAACAAAATGTGCGTTGATGCGGTCAGCAGTGAGTAGAAAACAGCTGAGCGTGAGTGCGTGTGTTTTTATTGACTTCGGTGTTTTTGTTTTTGTATCTATCTACCTAGATACATATGCTGGTGTGCACACGCATGCCAGTGTTTCGGCGTGAGTTCATTGAAATGCGTGTGCTTCTATGTATGTATGTATGTATGTATGAATGTGCGTCTAAACAAAATATCAACAACAACGAAGACAAATTAATAACTCAAGCGCAGCGGCAAACGGCATTGAAATCATTCAAACACACGTACGGAAACAAGTAAATATAGCTCCACACAGATATAAATGTACAAACGAGCATACATACATACATATAGATATATCTTTATATGTATGAGCTGTGTACTTTCAGTAGTAAAGTTGAAGCGAAGAAAACCATAAACATATTGTTTGAAAATAACACAGTTTCGCCGCCAAATCGTATTGATATTTTGTGCGTGTATAAATGTGCCTATTGCATTTTTGTTTTATGTTTATTATTGTGATTATTGTGTGCCTATTTGCCGTCAAACACTTCATTTAATTTACGTTCATTTGTGCGTCCGCGTCCGCGCCCTCCGCGGTTTGCTTCAGTTCAAACAAACGTGAATATGTTTGCACAAATGCGAGAGTATGAATATACATACATACATACATATGTATGTAGATATGGAAATATGTACTTGCAGATGTGTTCGTACCCGATAATTTATTTGTAATATGGCCTGTTGGCGATTAGCCGCTATTAGCGCTGATCTATTAGCGATTAAATGATAATTTCTTTTTGTCTCACTTTGAATATTGTTACTTTTTCAATAACAGCTTTTGAGCTGAATATTGTCTTATTATCATTCATATAAAATCACCTTGATTTTCAATTAAATGTAACTTTTTTTACGTGATTAAAGTTTGTCTCACGAGTTTTGCGCTCGCATTTGTTTAAGTTATTTAACCAGTATTCATATTTAAAGTAGATTTTTTGAATACAACGGCGTTAATAATTTTTTCTTCAGCTTAAATTATGATTTCGATATATTTTGAGGTCGAGTAACGTAGCTTTTAGCCCTACCTTATTTGGCGAAACYGATTTTTGTTTAATACRTATATGTACATATGTACATACTATGTAGATTTGGGCTGGATACTGTTAATGTCGGTTTGAAGAGAGCAGTACGCCGTATCATTGGCCTCAACAACCGCGCCGTTAGTTCCGCTTTCTCCAGGCTGGAGAAGAAAGCGAAGCAAATGGGTCTGGTAGTAAAAGAGGGMAAGACGAAAGATCTCCTGTCATCAAGCAAACAGTCGTCGCACTCGTGAATTGGCTCTCACGTCCCTATTGACAGTCACAACCTTGAAGTCGTAGATAATTTTGTTTATCTTGGAACCAGCGTAAACACCACCAACAATGTCAGGCTTGAAATCCAACGAAGAATAACTCTTGGCCACAGGTTATACTTGGAACTGAGTAGTCAAGGACTGTMTGAATCAACTAGCATCAATTTACTTCATTATCAATCTCGTTGCAGTGCTCGGTTCTAGCGATTAGCTGATAACTGCAAAGTCGATGAGTTAGCAAGAGAGGTTACCCTTACCCCGCTCACATACGAGTGGGAACGAGTTAGATTTCCGTTGTAAATTAGAGTCCTAGCATTGTACCTGTTAGTCCCGCGTGTGCATGTCAGACTTTTACTGACAACGAGATTTTATACGATATCCTTTTGACCCAGAGTAGCAAAGTTAATCTTGTCGCAATCCTAAGACTTCTTACTGGACATTGSTCAATAAACTTAAGGCTTAAATTCTTATGCAACGCAAGTTGTCAATGTTGTATAGAAGAAGGTTAGGTGGATAAAATTATGCTTTATGCTTCAGTGTCGAGTCCCTGGAGTACAAAGGTTGTAACAACTGGTCAGACTTATCTTCGATAAATCAGGTGACATAGCCGAAACTACCATTAAAATCTGTGATAGGCTCAAAGGACCGGACTTCTAAGTTGACCAAGTGAAGTTCCTGTTCGGACCGAYCTCTTAACTTAACCTAAACTATTTATTCAATTTATTTTTAGTGTTTGGTAAAACACCTTTATAGCCATCATAAAGCCGACTACTACTTTTATGAGTAACAAATGTGATCGAGTTCCGTAGCGGATCTTAGCCAAGAAGATTTGATGTCAATACCTTTGCAAAGTGGGTGACATCGAGGGTGCTATGAGCTTTTCTATGCTGCCGCGAAATCTGATTATAATTACATAATTCAATATGCCGTTAAAACTGAAACGTAAAATTGTGATAATCAATATCAATTATGCACACACACGCATACACACATTTCATTCCATAAGAACTAGTTAATAGCCATTAATCAATCAACCAATTAGCGATGMGCTCAAAGAGGCTTTAATCAACGCGAATTCTTCTGAGTCTCTTAATGACTTTTGGCAATTCATAATTACTATATAGAATCTTAGGTGAATACATTAACTTGGCAACTTTACCGCTCGCAGTTTAAAAGTTGGCCATTGGAAAATAGGCGATAGCAAAAGAAATGGTACAACAGCAATTCTTCAAACTMCGCTATATTACTTTCAGCCATTCTTGAGCTATGTTTCCCACATTTAGTGCTTAATTTTTTTCGGTTTTGTTTAAAATTGCAGTGTTTCCTTGACGCTTTTTAGTGACTTCGAACGCTTTACGAGCGTTCCAAAGAGTGAATGCGCTCGTCTCACTCGCTTTAATGTCTCTTCTTTCGTCACAAAGGCTTTTGTTTTCATCGAGCATGCTTAGCGACTTGGCGTCGGTCAACGTGCTAGCCTAGCTAGCTAACCCGTCTCAGTGTTGCGAGCCGGTAGGTAAGCCAGTCATGCRTTCRAGCATTCAGTCAGTCAAGTCGTTGAATTGTCAGTCACATCAGCAACGTGCCATATAAATCGTCACTGTTTTTGTGTGTACCGTCAGTCATATCGCCATTACTGTGCTCAGTCTGGTCGCCTGACTTTTGAGTTGCCTCAATGTACACTTACTTRCATGTGTATTTCTTTYCTTTGTAGCAGCAGTTTTTCTGAAGCTTTCCCTTGACTTAGTTTTATTCCCATCTTTTGTTTCTCTTCACTGCTTTGTTGTCCGTCATTCGCCAATGTTGTTGTCGTTGTCATTTCAATTCTGTGATTTGTTACTGGAGTAGATGCATAGCGCAGCATAGCTTAAGGCAYCGGCAAGTGACAACGACGTCAACAGCAATGAATGGGAACAGCGAGCGAAGCGAAGCACGCATACTCGTACAATTGCTAAATTTATATGAGTTAAAAAAATATGGCAAATTCGAATCGCCACTAAACGTCGTATTTATCGTCTATCGGTCGTCCATCTGCAAACATCGTCCATTCCCTCAATATCCAACCGATGCGATTGTCCCTAGCCATGTCCGCTTGACGGTGTCCACTTGACGGAAATTCGCGGAAGGCCCTTGGACAATCGGATGGCAACGCCGATGCAATACAAGTAGCAGAAAATGTTGCTGCAAYAGCARGCCGCTGGCCGTTGAGCAAGGACGGTAAACATGAAACGAAGCTGCGCGCTGTCATGCCACGAATTCCCCAAAGCATAACATGAAATACATACATAAAATGCGMCTTTGAGGGGATTCCCAAAAACCGAAAAAAAGAAATTCATGATAAAATAAATTCRAGAAAAGAATCAAATAAGAAGCAATTCTACTGAAAAACTCCACTTTGTTTAGATTTCATTATAAATTCAAAATAATCATTGTCGGTTTACATAAAAGCRCCCTGAATGTGCAGAAGTATGATAAGACTCAAGAAAAATACGCCATATCAACTTAGCTTGGAGACACATTCTTTTATACCCTAAACACAGAGTTTGGCCGAAAAGTAATAGGACTGAGGCGCTTTAGAGATATTTATTGAACCAATCGTTACAATTCTTTAAAAACTTTCAAAATAGGCTCCTTCTKCGTCGATGCGGCGCTGCCAGCGCAATTTTTAAGTTTTGAAGGCGTCATGGAAGGCATTCTCCGGAATAGCCTTGAGAGCCGAGGTGTATGTTGCTTAGATCGCCACCGACGTCTCAAAAKGCTTGCYATTCATCAGCCTTTTCAGGMAAGGKKGCACATCTGGGCYTTGGTTAGGTAGCTGTTCACAAAAAAGGCGGAGTGAGCCGAGGCGTTGTCGTGGTGYAACTTTCAATCGGCTGCGATGTCGTACTCGATTCGTTTGAGTCTCTTGAAAAACTTGGCGTTGTCCGTTTGCCCAGGAKSRAMAAATTCATGATGGACGATGCTTTTGATGTGAAAAAAGACAATGAGCATCGTTTKCACTTTCGATTTGCTCAGTCTTCCGGTCCGGTTTACCGAGTTTCACACAGATTTKAATGACGTACCTYTGCTCTAATGAACGCTGCATTTGCGGCTTGCACCACTTACAGAAACACGTCGCGCGAAAATGTTTGYTCGCTCGTTCGTTAGCTAGAAACGCCCTCTACCGAATCCAGTTGTTGCAGTCACGCTTCGAAGTACACTCGCGGCGAATCAGCCCTATTACTTTCCGGACAAACTCTGCAGGGTACATTAAGTTGGTCAYTAAGTTTGTAACCCCTAATAGAAAACGACGTTGGAGACCCGTCTATTTGGTAATATATTTTCATGATATTTGTCAGAAGTTATTATTGAAGATTTTGTTCACATCCGACTACTATAGCATATATCTGCCATATAATCTGATCGCTCAAAACCAAAATAAAGAAATAATAACTTACAGTTGATAAGGAATGATATTCTCTCCTTCCATCGATAAGATTTCTGTTTACGTACAYGAATTTTTTAAAGCATTTCTTTCAAGAAATTCGTTTTACATAACTTTCGAAAAGCTTTTCAAACTAAAAAATCTTTATTTCATTATTTTTATAATTTCTCCATTTCACTTTTGCAGATTAACACCATTTGAGGCTATTGAAAGTTTAATTAATTTCAAATTCAATACAAATAATTAAACACATAATTAATCAATATAAAATAAAATATCCAAGATGAAGCTACAAAAGACAGATAAAATGCTCAAAGTGCGCGAATTCAATGAACTGCTCAGCTGTCATMTTTGCGGCGGCTATATGATAAATCCTACAACAGTGGATAATTGTTTGCACACATGTAAGTMTGAAGACTAAATTTATTCAAACTTTTCATTAGTTTAAAGTATAATATATGAAAAATTTGAAAATCATAAATAAAGAATTCACAACTTTAAGATTGACATTTCATTACACTGAGCAACAAGTTTAAAAATTCTTCTTTGCTCTCATAAAGTTCAAGCGCTCTGCTAATTGTTTGAACTCTGAACTAAGTTGCAATTTCTTCCCGCAATTTTTAGATTGCCGCAGCTGTATTGTGCAGCATTTACATCGCGAGRCTTCTTGTCCACAATGCAAGGAAGTCGGAGGGTTCAAACAAATTAATATGGGCAATTTGCGGTAAGTTTTCAGCCACTTTAGTACATATTAACTAGTTCTGTGAATTGCGTATGTTTTATGAGCCATTTGGTAAACCCTAACCTTACAGGTCGGATGATGTAATGCGTGCGTTGATTTTTAAAATGGTGCCCGGTCTATACCAAAAGGAACGGGAGCGTGCAATACAATTCAACGTGGCACAACTTAATAGTCAGCAACGCATAAATGTTGAGGAAGCATCCAACGTTGTCAGCAGAGAGCAGGAGACAGTTGAAGAGAATTTCTTTGCGCCTAACGAACCAATTAGGTAAGAAATTGCGAGCACTTATGTAATGTAATGCTCTGAAAATACGCAAGTCATGCTTCCATTATATGCTTGTGTCAATTGTGTATGTGACAATTTCTATACGGAAGATAATATATTTTCCTTGTCTAAATTTTTCTCTCTTCAATTCTTTTGTTCCCATTGTTTCCGGTCATTAGTTTGTCATTGGAATATCATCCGACATTGCTGAAGGGCTGCAGCACGAGTCAAATACCGCCTGTGCGTTATCTACAGTGTCCAGCTTGCTTGAAGATACGTCACTTGAAACGTTTCCTCTGTTCCAAATTCGACATTGACCCCGAGAGTAAGCGTATCGAGGTGGAAGTGATTTATGAGGATGAGGTGTTGCCAAATGATTTTACGCTAATGGATGTTGGCTATTGTTACAACTGGAAGAGGGTGAGTAACAAAAGCAAACCGTTATTATTTGAATGCGCTAGCTGTGTGGAAAAAGTATATAAGAGTGTATGTTTTTGTTTTAATTATATACGTGAGAATTCATTATTATCCTATAACTAAATTATTTTTGTATGGTTGTGTGGATCAGAAAGTCGTATTGATTTTCTAAACTTTGTCATATGAAAGAATTTTATAGAAGGTTTTTTATAAAAAGTTAAAATTTGAGCCGTGATTTCTTAGAGTTGCAATTTATTGACAAGCTTTGTCAAAACCTTTTTATATTTTTGACTTTTTTATAATTAGTTTTGGAAATTTTTTTAATGAGAATAATTTTAAAATATATTCATAAAATATTAAGCGTAAAAATATATAGTTTCGTCAGAATATTTCATCAAGTCTCAAAAATAGAAAGCGATGAACAATAAAAATTGGAGAATATTAAAATTCAATCTATTATATAGAGAATACGCTCTGACAAAAAAGTACCTGGAAAATGTAAATAAAATGCAAAATATTAAATTTTTCATCAATATTAATTTTGACGCCTTCAAAATAATCTCTACCAGATGTAATATATTGTAAATATTATGACAATGATTTTTCGAGCCCTCAAAATACTTCTCATAAGCACTGTTTGGGATGGCCTTCAGCTCCTTCAGCGAATTTTGTTTTATTATATATCTCTTCGATCGACTGAAAACGGGTACCACGGAGCGGCATCTTCAGTTTGGGGGACAAGAAAATTTCACGCGGAGCCAAATCTGGTGAACACGATGGTTAATCGATGACATGCATTGCATTTTTGGCTCTATATTCGTTCACAATCCTGGCTCGATGCGATGGTGAATTATCATAGTATAAAATCCATGAAATGTTCTTTCACAATTCCGACCGTTTTCGAGCGATATTCGCAAGCAAACGTCTCTGTATGATCAAATAGAACTCCATATTTAACGTCTGTCCGGAACTCCGGAACAAATTCAAGATGCACAAAACCACGAATATCGAAAAAACAATGAGAAATCTTAATTTTTGAGTTGCTCTGGCGTTRATTTTTGATTTTTTTTTAGTTTTTTTCTCTCCATTTCGCTGATTGTTGACTTGTTTGCATGCCAAACTCATAAATCCAAGTCTCATCGGCAACGCCTGACGATTWTTATGTACCATGTCCTTCACTTTTTTAATATTGAAGTTTTTAGTATTGAAGTAGTTGAAGAGTTTGAAGTTCGTTCAGAAGGATGCATGTCTTCAACGATCTCCTTTCCTTGCCGATTCCGGGAATTTTCGGCAATCACTCATCTTAATTTGATGAGTTGTTGTCAGTAGTATTTTAGATAATTCATATKTCCACCAATTGCCTTGCTTTTGATTGCATGCGACCGCTTTTAAACGATTTTAAATGGCTGCTTGCGTAACTCCCAAAGATTCAGTTCTTTTGTCTGTGTCAACAATCGTCATCGAGTAGTGTTTCCGGTCTCTCTTCTTCTTTGACCATAGCCATAATCACCACTTTTATATTGGTTAAACTACTTTTGTCACGCTTGAACCTTCTTAATACGATGACTTTCGTCCGATAATAGTTATAGACCCAATATAATGCAGCGATAATCTACAAGTATAGTAGTTTTGAAACTTTTAGAAACTAATCTCAGTACATATGTATTTCAAAATTAGGTATATTTCAGTTACTTTATTCTTAAGTGATCTAAAACCYTTTAGTTCGAAATTATTTTTGAAGGCTATACACTAATTGCAAAAAGTACTGTGATAAAAAATGATAATAGATAATATTCGAGTCTCGCTATACCTAAAACGAAACAAAATAATCACTTTTATTTTTGATTTTTTCTTGTAAAAAGTAAACTGGGACCCTTGAACCATGCATTTTATTTTATATTGTTCTTCAAACCATTAATTTACAGCATGCACCTATGCAATTCACCTATCGCATACTTTTCTATGGCAATGAGTCTCAGCACCCTGCAAAGCGTATCAATAAGGCCGAGGTCGAGGTGAAACAAAGTTCTCGCGTTGACACTGTAAAAACCACCGAATTGAAACAAAATGAACATATTATGCTCTCTGACGAAGCCAGCATTACAAACCTCTCTGCTGCATCTATTGTCAACTACAACAACAATCAACAGACATTGCAAAAAGCTCCTAAGGACAAGAGTAAATCATCAAAGTCTATTAAAATCACTTCAAATAAAACATACAATCCGAGAAATGAAGAGGTAAATGCACCCGTAAAAATGATATTTGCGCGCAAATCGAGCGTTGAGAGCGGTAAGAAATCGTCACCCAAGCGTAACAGCCACGAAGATGTAACGTATACTGTTACAAATGATTTCAAGAGYCTACGCAGCAATGATATGCGTTATAGCGATTATGCCGTCTCGTCCACCACGAGCAATAGTAATTCGCCAAAGAGTTCACCGAAGAGTGAACACCGTTCTACTAAACTTATGGCGAATGCGCACGAATCATCTCCACCACAAACGGTACAAATCGTTGGAGCTTCATCGGCGACGGTGCCGAAATGTGACATTGTCGTGAGCATACCGCAGTCGCAGATGCCGAAGTCGCCGTACTCGATCGATGATGAATTTGAGAATGTATCATTGGCGCAGTTGAAAACCGCGAGTAAGAAATCGCCTTCAATCTCAACAACAACTAACGTAGAGTCACCAAAAGGTGGCTCGACTAGAAATGTGCCAAAGTTAAAAATTGAATTGAATAGTCTGAAGACACGTTTAAGCATTTCGAAGCCCAAATCGGCTGGTGTGTTGTCAAGTGCGGAGGTCTCAGAGAAACGCGAGCGTACCAAACAACGTAAACACTCATTGGATGAAGTAGCTGCGCCATTGAATGATAGACTGGAYATAGAGACCTATGCGAAAAATATCGGCTTGCAGCCCATAGAGGTGCTGACGCCACCTGAATCGTGCGAAAAGCTCAAATACAGTCCAAATGCCTCCCCGCTTTCATCTGCATCCTCAACAACCAGTTCGTCGAATAATGCTTTTCCACTGACCACAACCACCGAACTCACTACGAAGACTACTTTCCATAAGAAAAGGAAAAAGAAGCACTCGAAAGATTCGAAGGAACCGAAGGATAGTAAGCGGCGTAGAATGCATGCAGAAATCTCCAGTAAACCGGAAGAAGAAAGCCTCAAAATGAAGGTTAAGCTGACAGCACCACATAACCATAAATCGCACAAGTCTGAAAGTTCTGGTACAAAGAAAAGTAGTGATGAAATGCGTAAATCACCACCGATTGTGAGAGATGTCAAAGTGCTGGCAACGGCTACAATTCCAGATGTACCAGTGCCACCAGTAAATGACAGTATTTTGGCATTGAACAAAACTCTCGGTGAGGAATCGCGTAGCATAAATCATCTCATGATGGAAAAGGAAAGAACCAAAGAGGTTGTCAAAGTGGTAAARGCGGATGAAACATTGCTAACGCTCCCACAGACAAATTTGCTTCCAAAACCCTACAACAACATAAGAGATTCCAAATTACCCGCTTCACCACCACTACCGCCCAGTCTCTTCAAGACGACGCCACTTAACTTCAACACACTCACAGTTACCAGCACAACAACGGGTCCATCGAAGTCTACAAATAACTCCTCCAAGCAATTGGACTTGACTAAGGGCAAACAGCAAGTGCCACTGATGACAAAACCGACCTCAGTACCGCAATATAACAGACAKGGTTCCCTAAGTGCTCCGAAACCACATCCACATTTCATAGTTCCAAGCCTTCCACGACGCTCCTCACCTGGCACAAATAGTTCGTATACACCTTCGTCCATAGCCAGTGCCAGTAGCAAACAGCTCGGTATGCAATTAAAACGCTCCGCCTCTTTGGATGAGTCTTATGCAATTGGTGGACGTGCGAAGCAGGTTAAGCTCGATGCGTCTCAGCGCAAGGCGCTTTAYGGCAGTTATGCAAATAAGCCGCTTACACCGCCATCCACCAGCGTAAGCATTARCAAACTGGCTGATACTGCAACCAATGTGCAAAGCTCTAGTGGCACTCATAATAATGCAGTTACCATCACGGCACGTCCACCGGGCGGCATGACGCAGGAACAAATGCGCTGGCAACTACCRCCATACACTCAGTTACATTTACCGTTTAACAAGCCCGCCGTGGAAATCGTGCGCATCAACTCGAATCAAACSAGCACGGATATGCATATACCAGCGTTGAGTACGCCGAAGAGCGGACGTATGATGGGACCACCACTTTCTATGGTGAAGGGCAAGAAGTCCGTGGGRCACCAGTTAGGCGCTATGGCTTCCACTGGCGGGGTGAAATCACCGCCAATATCCTTGAATGCTGTGTCTTTAGGACATGGCAGGAATAATCCATATCGRTTATCACCACCGGCGCTGGTAAATCTACAAGGTCCACCATTTAACGCGTCCAAGAAAGTCGGCGCCCTAGCTACAGATAATACCTATAAGAAACCAGAGAACTTGAGCAAGACCAACGGCACTACCGATAAGCAGTTACAGCAATCACGCATTAGTTTGAGAGATTTTAGACCGAGCTCACGTGATCATAGCTTCGATATAATTGATGTTACCGAGGGTATTGGCAAAGCAGAGGCGAGCCCAGCGGCTGATACTACAGTCAGTGCCACAGCTGCTACGCCGTCAGCGCGTGAGAGTCTGGAAGCCGCTTTGAATAAAATTAAACAGAACATCACTTCCACAACTACTGTGCAAGACAGTGCAGCTGCTTCCGCCGCAAAGCAACAACAGTTGCCCTCACCAACGCAGATGAGCAACGAAGACCTACAGAATCTACATTTGCTGTCCGARTCAGCAACAACACGTGAGAAGATCGCAATACGCTCTTCGCAGTCCTATGAGAAACCGAAGATGCAACCATCTTCTTTGGTGCGGCAGCAAAACGCTTCGGTGCGCAACATACCGAATCCCTCAGCATTGGCGTTTCGTAATATGTCGACGCTGCCTGCTGTGAGCTCCACTTTGACGCCCGCAACCACGGTTGCTGCCAGCAGTAGCGCGCCCTCAACAACCTCATCCACACCAACAACCAGTCCAGCATCACAATCCACACAAAAAACRTTACCGCTGATGCCACTTCCCTTAAACAGCGCTGCTGCGCCGCTTAGTCCCGGCAATTCTGCGTTGCCTGCCACAACCAGCGCTAGTGTAGTTAGTGCCACCAGCACCAGTATAACTGTGGCACGCACCGTCAAGAAGCCGACAACGATTGATCAAGTGGCCGCTAATTTAAACATGCGSGCATCAGCCGCCGCCGCGGAAGCACACGCAGCTAAATTGAGCGCAGCCGAGGATGTGACGCAAATAACTTCGTCGAGTCAAAGTACTACCAGCGACCTGACAAAGGTGACGCTCACTACAACTGTGGCTTCTTCGACCACATCTAACGAAACGTCGTCCACAGCTGCTGAGTGTGCAAAGGCGGATGCGAACGAAGCGGCAAACGGAGTGGCTGAGATTGCGAAAGCGAAAGTGTTGCCGAAATCCGTAGCCGATAGTGGTGCGACAACTGCAATTGTCACCGATGTCACTAACATAGAGAACACGGCGAGTAACAGCAACAGCAACAGCAATAACAATAATAATAATAATAATAATAATAATAATAACAACAACAACAACAGTAACAGCAAGAACAACAATAATAACGGCAATAACGACGTCAAATATGGTGTGACGTCAGCTAGCGTGGCGAGTGATTAAGGTGAGTGCAACAAAGCATTGCATTGTTTATCGCTTTTCAGCTTGTTTTTGGTTTTTGCCGTTGTTTTTATTTTTTTGCCGCTGATGCGAATTGAGAGCAATCAATTGCGGTGACATGGGATGATAAGGGGAAGATAAATGAATGTAGTAGCATAATATGCGAAGGATTTATGGTTTTTTATTTGTGAAGTGACTGAAATAATTGGAATTTCTCTATTGCATCACGGGGTTAAAGCAGATTGCCTGTTCAAATAAGGATTTTTTTGTAAGAAGCGAATTCGGTTTTTTCGATGAGGCCAACTTCCTATCAGCATTCAAATAGATTTTATTATATAAATATTATTGTAGGTTTTTACCTATCTACCTTACTTTTGGGTTCATAAACTGTTTAAGAGAAAAAAAAAATAAATATTATTGTCATAATGAGATTTCGTTAAAAAGTATTAAATAAAATGTTGTTTTCTTTTGACTTTAACTTCTTGTTTAGTAAAATATAGAAATGAATCTGTAAAATTATTAAAATTATTAAGGGTTTATAGAAAAACAATAACAATGATACTTATAGTAGTACTTTTGGGAACCATAAAATATAGACGAACCTCTCACGAGACAAAATCTGTAATATAATTTCGGTGTATATGCGAAATAGGCACTCAGKTTTTGAGATATCGGTCTAACATTTTGCACATGATATTTTCTCAGCAAGAAGCTGCTTATTTGTCGGAATCGCCGATAYCGRTCTCATACAACATACAGCTCTTGRCAGCTAATTAGGAACGCTCCTTTTCTTGTAGGTGGCTGATAAGTATAATGATAAAAATATACCGTTATTGATCTACCGTTATTTATATTCCTAAAAGTCTTGCATTGTTCGTGTTACTCTATTTACTAAAAAATTCGCTCAGTTTTGTAGTTGTGCAGTTGAAATTCTGTTAATTTTTTCCCAAATAGTAACTGCGTTACGATATAG